GTCCGGAGTCCGGTTGCTGGGAGAATGTGGTGGACAGAGCCCAACACCGCCGTCACAACCATTTACGGTCAAGTGGTACAAGAGTTCCCGGAATTTCATCTGCTCTTGAGTTCTCCGTGAATGCAATTTTGACTTGTTAGTATTGTTCCTAATTACAGCTGTCTCTTGAACACTAACCTGAGAACAATCTTAAACGGAGGAAACTTGTCACTGAGATTACTGGCTTTGGATCATTGATATGACAGAGGTTCCGCTGGAATATTGCCACACTGCAGAAGATTGTTAGCTGTCTGTATAGTCTGCATTCTGGGGGCCCAGACAGTTGCCCGCTGGTGCAATCTGCCCGCAGTGTTTCCTTTCCTTTGTGAGGATTTCTTTCCCTGAAATTTGTACAAATCGAATTTATTACAAGTTACGTGACGAGTGGACAGTCACAGCCGCACAAAGTGGACCACCCCGCTGGACGTGAAGGCGACACCACATTGCCTCCTCCCGTGACGCCAGTTGCATACCAACTCTACCTGTCGCGAAGCGGTTCGAGCCTGTCCTAGAGCTCCAGCTGCCGTTGCTAAGATTGAGTTTATTTTACTCTGCCCTTCCAACCTAACAACACGTTAAGACACGTCACGACTTAAGCAGTCCTAATCGATGTTCGGAAAAAATTTATAAACAGTACCAGACCAGATAAAGATCAAGTGCGCCTATACAAAGTAAGCAATCAGTAACTATTCATTTCACCACTAGTGATTATATTGTCATAAACAAACAAGTACCTCCATTCCTAAAAATATTATGAAGTTCGAGCGAAACTTGTACACCCCCTCCAAAATGTTTAGAAGTTCTATTATAGCTTGTGCACCCCTGTCCATAACTACACGACGGTTACCGATACAAGACAGTGTTCCCGACAGATGGCAGTAGTGCGATGTAATATCCAGCTTCTTCCCCTGGGTGTGTTTCCCCCCCCTCCAGTAACACAAGCACTTCCCCTTCAACCGTACAGGTCACTTGGGACTTGGCAAATAGTGAAAAGTGACCTTAATATGACAGCGGAAACATTGTGTCAAACACATTGAACAAATTGGTGCCTACAGCACACTGGGCGAGCTGCAGGGAAAGCTGGACCAGACATGGCCGGCCGTAGGGGTGACTGGATTCTGGGCCGGACAGGTTGGGCTGCAGAGGAGACTGGACCGGACAGAGCCGGCCGTAGGGGTGAATAGATCCTGGGCCGGACAGGTTGGGCTGTAGAGGAAGTGGACCTGACAGGGCCGGCCGTAGGGGTGACTGGATTGTGGGCCGGACAGGTTGGGCTGCAGACAAGACTGGACCGGACAGAGCCGTCCGTAGGGGTGAATAGATCCTGGGCCGGACAGGTTGAGCTGCAGAGGACAGTGGATCGGACAGGGCCGGCCGTGGGAGTGACTGGATTCTGGGCCGGAGAGGTTGGGCTGCAGGGGAGACTGGACACTGGGCCGGACAGGCCGGACAGCAGAAAGGAATCTGGACACCCGTCAGAGAGAATGTGTAACGTTCGTATGATTAACCTTTGTCTACAAGAAGCCCCGCAAGCGAGCGGTGTCGTCAGGAGACACCAGCAGACGGACGAACGGACAGACGCTTAATGACGCTCCGAAGTGAGGAGGAAGAGGGGATGCCTCCCTGCCTCCAAATGGAGTTACACTGGCTGCAGTAGCTGTAATGCAATCAGCTGGCCCTAATGATGGCAAGTCTGGACTCTCTGGGCGCAAGACAAGGGACCCTGCATTCACGCTCTGCAGTTGATACAGCGCTCTTGAAGAACCTCCGAACCAATTTAATGCATCCGTTGTTCAAATCAGATCTAGAAGTCGACAAGACGAGCCGATTATCGAAAGGTTAGTGTTTCAGGAACCGCAGTTCATTACGAGAGGCTCCGCCCACTGCCACGGTCCCCACCAATAGTGGGCCTGCATCGCCATGGTTGCCTGGCAACGTAGGGAGAGAGGGTTGTTGCTGTTGATATGGCAGGGAGGGGGTCTGGGGCCCGTCATCCCCACACCCTACTAAGATTGTTACTTGTTCCGCGCCGCGATCTTCCTGACTCTACCATCAGACGGGATAGACTCCAGTCACGTATCTGTTGGGGCTCAGCTCATACAGCTGTCGTGTCCCATCATTTGTGTGGGGCGAGAGGTCGAACCCGGGACTTCCCGAATACGTGAGAGTAACTACTAACCACTACACAACAACGTGCAGTATGCACACTGTAGGGCGCCTCCTATCCCGAGAGGGGTACAGTTCTTCATCCGCTTTATTGCCTCTTGGTTCTTCACAGGGCACCGGTAATTATGTGTACCACATACCTTCGGGTAAATGCAATTGTTCATTTCGCCATTCGATGTGCTTATGTGTTCCGTTCACTTCTCACAATAAATAACTGGTGCTTCTCTAAACATTAACGATCTGAGCTTTGTAAACGCAGATGTGATGTGTTTTCTACGCGGCAGGAACGAACACAGTGCATTCATGTGTTCTGTTCTCATACACACACAAAAAAAAACCCGGTGGTTAGTGTCGCAAATATTCGCCGGCTGATATTTGTAATACGGATGAGAATTATCTTAGAGTTTGGAAGCAGATGTTATAGGATTAGACTCGACTGGCATATAGCCCGTTGAAATTTCAACGAGTAGTTGTTAAAAACAAACTTTGTCAGAAATAGCTAACCTATCCTATCCCTAACCTATCCCTGAGTATTTCTGAAATGACAGCTGCATATAGACTACAGCCGACTAAAATAGTTGAATTTAAAAGTATAACTACAGAGTGTACTAAGAGATGCTGGGGGCACGCGGTAGCGCAGTTGGATAAGGCACTGTGCTACAAGCCGGAGGGCCGCGGGTTCAAATCTCGATGAGATCATTGGATTTTTTCAATTGATCTAATCCTTCCAGCTGGACTATGGCCCTGGGGTCGACTCAGTCTCTAACAGAAATGGGTACCAGGAATTAATTAAATAATTTTCCTGGGGAGTAAAGCGCGGCCGGCGCGTAAGGCTGACAACCTTACCGCCATCTGTGAGCCAATTGTCTAAATAATGTGGGAGCCTCAACGTCTCAGAACCCTATGGGCCTTCACGGCCTGTTACAGGGATAGCTTTCCTTTTTTTTTTTTACTAATAGATGCTGCTATCTAGAGGAAATGTTTTCGACAAAGGTTGTCCAAAAAGTGAACTCTGGAAAAAATAAATAGCCTGTCTTTTACTTCAACTGTCAGTTAAGCGTCACAGTGGTAGTTGTCTGGTTCAACGCTAAACAGCAGAACTTTCAGTCACGGCCTTAATTCAGGTACAAAATAAACACGTCACTAGCAGCTCTCGTTTCAACGTGACTCCATGCACTTCAATTTCCTTCCCAAATGCAGCAAATGGACGAAGCCTCAGAAGTGGGCAGTCCACGCTTCTGTGGCCACTGTTTACACGGAAAACCCCTCCGCTGATCTACGCAATCAAGAAATAAAATCTCTTTTCGCTAACACTCTAGATTACAATGCCGACTGAAGCATAGATGCTCGTCTCTCTGCCGCATGGTTTCCATTTCGTAACTGCCGACAACAGTAGCTTCTACATAACGACAGATTTAAGACACAAAAGCGACAGACAGACATGCATTAGGCCTTTACGGATTTATGCTGCTTCGTCCTATGCAGATTTAAGCAATTTTCTGCTAGTTACTGTTAGGTCTTTCATGCCCTCAATTCACTGTCAGGGCGCTTGACCTCTCCTGCACTTGTCACCGTCGGAGATGTCACGTGAACTGAGCACTGGACAACAACATGGCCACGCCAACGAAATACCCTTCGTATGGTTTGGCTGCACGGCCTGTACTGATTGAAGCGAACTGGTAAAATTGGAAATACGTTTCGCTTTCGTGGATTGAATTCAACTGGCTGCACACATCAGGTCCTTACTCTGCCGCGGTCGAGGCGCCGTAAAACCGCGGGGCAGAAGGGATTACTGCGTTCTGTGCTGACATCTAGTGGGCGCGGCGCACCCCCCCCCCCCAATTCCCTTGGGAACTGGCGGTACAGTCGCCACAGAAACACAGTACATATGTGTGCACACAAGAACGTCAGGAATCGGACTAGACCACTGATTACAGCACCCCTTCTATGTGACATTAAACTGGATTCATCTGGCTCAGGATAGGGTCCTGAACACGGTACTGAGCTTCAAGTTTCTCACGCCGGCGTCTCTGAGGAGCAGGCTTACTGTCTCCTGTGACATGACGCCGTGTGCTCCGATAGAAGTTTACTGACATTTCGGAGAACGCATTGCCTCCATCTTCAGGATCAAAGAGAAGGCCGAGAAAGGTACCAACAAAAGCGTCCTCCGTAGTCTAGGGGTAACGTTCCCACCTCATGACTCAAGGTAAGCGGGTTCAAACCCGGCGGAGGTCGTGGAATTTTTAAAGGGCGGAAAAATTCAGGGAACAAGTCCTCCGGGAGGGACTTTAAGGCGGCACGTAAAATATCCTCATGTCTCTAGGAGACCCCTGAGCAAGATTAGGCAACCATTTCCCGCCCAAGTAGTTTCCAATGCCTCTGGTAGATGGGGGAAATATCAGGTACCAACGGCCGACGTCGTTGGCTGAGCTGGGCTGATAGCACACACCAGTACCGGTAGGGTATGGCGACTGTAGAAATTAAAGGGGGACGCACAGTGGACCAATAACTGGTCTAAGTGCATGGGGAAACCCACCCCCTCTAATAATAATAATAATAATAAGGTACCAGCAAGCAGCTGTTTGCTCGGCTTAGTGTCCAAACCTGAAGATGGGGACAGTAAGTTACTCCGAAACGTCAGTAAGCTTCTATCAGAGTACACGGTGTAACATCTTCGCGATAAAGAACATTGGGGTTCTTTTAATGAAGGGGAGTTTCATGGTTTTCTGAGCGACTGTCAGCTTCACAAGAACTACTCTGCTACATGGAGTCAGGATCTGCAGACACCCACTGACCTGGACTCGTGCCTCGGTTAGGTTGATCTTCATGGCGAGGTCCTCCCGTGTGAATACGTCAGGGTAGTGCGTCTGCGCAAAGGCGCTCTCCAGCTCCTCCAGCTGGAACAGAAAAGAGGTGAGTCGTCATTACCGCCACCTTGAGGCCAGGCCAGTGTTATCTATGTCGTTAAATAAGAGATCAGTACTGAGTGTGATTGCGTGGGAGGGGACGTTTTTGTATCATTCGGAGCGATGTGTGGTAATAGAACACTGTTTTTTTTAAGAATTAAAAGTAAGAAAATAGCTGTGAAGATGTTCTTATCTTTTGTTTTTGTGACGACAATTAATGAACCATCGTACCCAGGCATGTCAGATTTTGTTTTCTGAAACGTAACGCCATGTGGCCCGTTGAAAGTCAACCGGCGTACATTGGATTTATGTCCGACAAACTTGACAGAAGCGCCACGTGTAAAATAAAATGACGTCGTCGTGTTTACTTAGTAAGCGTCATGCCACGAACATATATGGGGGAGTGGAGGTATAGCTCCACCATTCTTGACACTAGATGATGGTAAGTGGTGAGATTCACGCCTCGACCATTTTACCCCTCCCGGATAAAGAATCACTGGTACCCACTCGACAGGGGGCTGAGAAGGGGACCCAGACAAATCTAGTGTCCCTACTGGGAATCGAACCTGTCCCGTCAGAATGTGTGTAAAGTAGAAGAACAGCAGCAACAATGGATCTGTTGGAGTGAGAAGGAAGGCATTGTGAGTTCCGTGCTGTATTTCTAGCCACTCTCTCTCTCTCTCACCTGCTGTAGTGTGAATGTTGTCCGGTTACGGCGCTGCTTCCGTCTCACAAATGTGTCGTCGTGTATGGCGGGATGGTAGGAGTAGCTCGTGTCTGCAACACACAACACACGGAGTTAAGTGGCTGATAAGCGCGGGGTGTAAGAGCCCTGAATGGGGTTCCATAGGCCCCGCTGTAAGCTGCAAGTTCTCACGGCCAAGGGGATGGTACTCCTGAAGCCCCGGGCTCAAATCTCGGCTTACAGACCACCTGCCCTTACTGGAACTTCATTCCTCGGTTCCTCCAAGCAAATTTCGTGATACTGCCTCAAAGGATCCCCCGTCATCCTTTGTAATTCGTTGTTCACTTAGGACACAAATTTTTAAATATATGTCTGTAGTCTATATGTTGCTGTCTCGTCACCAGAATGCAGGGCAAAATCATGACATAAAGATAGGAAACAGATGTTTTGAAAATGTGGCACAGCTAAGATATTTAGGAACGACGATAACAGATCGAAACCTGATTCAGGAGGAACTTAAGAGGAGATTGAACTCGGATAATGCTTGCTACCATCCAGTCAGGAACCTTCCGTCTACTCGTCCGCTGTCCAAAAACATTACAAAACTGTAATTTTGCCTGTGGTTCTGTATGGGTGTGAAAGTTGATCTCTGACATTAAGGGACTAACATATACTGTTGGTGTTTGAGAACACGGTGCTGAGGAGAATATTTGGACTGAAGAGGGATAAAGTGACAGGAGGTTGGAGAAAACTGCACAAAGAGGTGCTTCACCACTTGTACTCTTCCTCCAAGTATAATTAGAATGATCAAGCCAAGGAGGATGAGATGTTCAGGCATGTACCACGAATGGGGGAGAAGAAGAATGCATATAGGATATTGATTGGAAAGCTAGAAGGAAAGAGACCAGTGGGAAGACCAAGTCGTAGGTGGATGAACAATATTAAAATGGATCTTAGAGAGCTAGCATGCGATGCTATGGATTGGATTAATCTGGCTCAGGGTAGGGACCAGTGGAGGGCTCTTGTGAACACGGTAATGAACCTTCGGGTTCCATAAAATGCTGGGAAATTCGTAACTGTAGATTTGGCTTCTCCTCAAGAAGGGCTCGGCTCCGTAAGTAGGTAAGTAAGTAAGTGCAGGTCTATAGTCTGAGCTATTTTCAAGATCGTCAAATAATCCACAAGTAACAACACGGTGTCATAACCCAAGAGTCTACAACCCTGAAGATAGAGCCAATACGTTCCTCCGAAACGTCTGTTACCCCTAACAAGACCGAGATCCGGCCATGAGGTTGGTCCCACAGCTATTCTTCCCTGTCAGCACTGTAAGGAGTGCAGCTAATCGCTAGGTTCTGTTGTGCGTCATGGCATAGGCGTGGGGGTGAAGTGCTGTCCCACGCCACTGTGTGTAGCTCTGATATTCGTTAGAACACACCTCATGTCATCATACCCCAGAATATGTTACGGAACTGCGACAAATACGGTAGGTAGGTACTTGACCCTGCAATCACCTGCGTTGAGTAACCTTGCGTTTTGCCCACACAGTGTGTTTGTGTGTTTCATGTTGCTCTTTGTAATGGAGACACTGTCTTTATTTTGAGGCATGAAGCGGATCTGTAGGTATTACTGAGATGAACTTGAGGCTTCGAAAAGGCAAATATACTCTGTCCAAAACATCTTTGATGGGGTGTCATCATCCGACAGTTATGCTATCAGGAGAAAGTCACCAGATTCTATTGTAGCATATTTGCTCGAAGAAAGAACTGTGAAGCCAGCAGAGAAAGTTATTGCTAGGGAACGCCTATGCAAACACTCCCGTTGCTAGGCAATGGCTCAGTAACCGTCACGTGATGGTCGCAACAGACACGCACGTAACAATAGAAGAGATGTTTGAAGCCGTGTTTTCTGTGTGTTCCGTGCCGAGGATAGATAACGAGCCATTCAAAAGAAGCGCCAACATTAAACTAAAGCTCCATAAAGCACTGAGTAGATAAGTAATGACTTATGCTTTTCCAGCCTTGGAATTTGCGACAGACACCTACTCGTACCTCTTAAAATTGCAGTGTCTGCAAAACAAGGTTCTCTGCATCACTGGAAATTTTCCAAAGTGCACATCTGTCCGCGATTTGTACACGGGCTTTCATGCTTCCATATGTATGCGATTGTGTAGCAAAATTGTGGAAACAACAAGCAGAAGTGATACAAAATCATGAGAATGAACATGTTCTCAGCATAGGACAAGGTGAAGCCAGTCATAGAAAATAATAATAGGGTTAAGCTTGGCGGTGGTCAAGCTTACGACCATTCAAGTGACTACGCTGCCGTTGTAGCATAAGATACGTAAGCTAAGCATGATCTGCTTTGCAAAGCCTGGACTTACAGATATAATGCACAAGGAAGAATTTTTAATAACATGCTATATGTGTGATACGCACACTTGACAAAAGGCCACGCATATTCATAAGAGACAAACCCATCCTCTCATCAGAGAGGATCTTACATAAGGACTATGATCGCAAGGGTACAGTTGCAAAAAGAAATCTCTGATCGTGAGCCTCAAGGGGCTTGGTGCCAAGACGAACTGATTGGCGGTAAAGCGCCAGTTGTAAAGCAACTCCAAACTCTAAATTCTGCAGGGAGGCAGTTGAGAGTTGCAGCAGATGAGGTCAGGGGCAATTTGGGAACCCAGAGGAAGAGGAACATCCGCCATTGGAAGCCGCAACCAGGCAGCGCAGTGAAGACCGTGACTGAGAACACTAGTCTGTGTGGTATAATATCACTTGTTTAAGGTTCATTAAATCCGGTTACCAATCCATACCCCGTCTATAGTCACTCAGTCACGTGGTACTTTTCACTGTAGGATGGGAACCAGCATTACCATACTGGAGATCTTGTTGAGCTCGAGTTGCCTGCTCAAGGTACAACGCAGTTTCGGAGACTGTAGACACATTTTGTTTGCTTGTGAAGGCCTGCGACGTTTGGGGTCACGTGTGGGACTGAAGTGAGACTGAGTCCTTTGTTACTTTGGCCGCAAGTATACAGATGGGCATGGAGCATTGTGGAATGATAATTGGTAGGGGAAAACCGTACGCTCGGAGAGTGTCATAGCCTGCACAGATCTCAAATGGGTTATCGTGGAACTGAAGATGGGCATCTGTGACGACAGTATCCAGTGTGAAGATGTGCACGCCACTGTCACAGTGTGCCCTCTGTGCCCTCTGCCCTTACCGGGGCCAATGCAGTTATTTAAAATGAAAAAACACAAAAATATATGTAATTGCCGTTACGTAGATCCGTATGCAGGTAATTAGTAATGCCATCAGAACCGTGTGGCTTAGTGAAATTGATTGTGCTTAATGAAAAATACAGACGTAATACACACAGCTGGATGTGGTTCTTGCCCATCACGTTATTGCATCATATTATTGCAGCTGTGGCTATGGCGCATGCGTCGAGGCTGCATCTGAATCGTCGGACATGCTATGGCAAGAACGAAAAAGAAAATACGAAATTGAAATGACACATTTCTCCGGAAAATAGAACCAAGCAGTTCGATATGATGACATCTATACAACTTATTCCGTTTAGTATCATCACCTCCTCTCCCCTTCTCGTGATACGGCACCATTTCTGTGTCCATTCGCGCTATGCGTCCAGCCCATCCTAACCTCAACTGAACTGCGTGAACAATACTAGTTAAATATAGAAAGCAGTCTTCTGGGATTTGGCACCGTGTATATGTGGTGTTAACCGACGTTTCGGAGGAACGTATCGCCTCCATCTTCAGGGTAGAAGAAAAAGTATAAGAAATCTGCAAGCGACAAGACCGTGAGAACGGTAAAAGCAGACTGGAAATAACACAGCTGTGTGTGAGCAGAGAGGGAAGGGGGGAAGGGCAAGTATACAAGTGAAAGCAGTGGTGAGGGAGGGGCAGGGGAAGGGAGCTGGGGCAAGCGTGGTTTTGTGTACGGGAGAGTAAAGTAAGGTTAAAGGCTGGGCTCTAAACCGTAAGCTGAGGGGGGGGGGGTTGTTATGTTGGTTGGTCATGGCCTTGTGGCCTTCTGGATCTGGCGTCATATCCCGGTGGGGGTTTTTTAAGAGAACAGATAAGAGGTTTCCAAGACTTGCTGAGACGAAACCCCTCCTCTCTGTTCATATTCCCTGGATGCAGTTCGATCTCAATGGCTTCCCTAATGATGCGATCCATATAGCGCGTCTTGGTGGCGAGGATGGAGGTATTCTGAAGCTGAATGCGGTGTCCCAGTTCGATGCTGTGTTCAGCTACGGCCGACTTGTCTGGATGTTCGAGACGGATGTGCCGCTGATGCTCCTTCAACCTCGTGTCCACGGAGCGGCCTGTCTGCCCTACCGGGATATGACGCCAGATCCAGAAGGCCACAAGGCCATGACCAACCAACATAACAACCCCCCCCCCTTAGCTTACGGTTTAGAGCCCAGCCTTTAACCTTACTTTACTCTCCCGTACACAAAACCACGCTTGCCCCAGCTCCCTTCCCCTGCCCCTCCCTCACCACTGCTTTCACTTGTATACTTGCCCTTCCCCCCTTCCCTCTCTGCTCACACACAGCTGTGTTATTTCCAGTCTGCTTTTACCGTTCTCACGGTCTTGTCGCTTGCAGATTTCTTATACTTTTTCTTCTACCCTGAAGATGGAGGCGATACGTTCCTCCGAAACGTCGGTTAACACCACATATACACGGTGCCAAATCCCAGAAGACTGCTTTCTTCATAGTCACCGCCGTGAAAGCCTCAAATCTTACATAGTTAAATATAAGTTTAATTTAACTGGATTTTACTTTAAAGATCATCAGTACAACTTTTTGGGTGTCTGGTATTTATTCAAAATCGCTATACGTAACGACCTTTGGCCTTCATCAGTTAGTACATCATCAGTAAGTCTCATCGTTGAATTGTTGCTATTTGTCTACCTTACTTAATAATGGCTTCAGTTTTTCCAACAAGTTTACACTTTTTTTTCACTTGTTAAAATTCTTGTCATGTGCTCTGAGTATTCTGACGGAAGGATGAAATAGTTGCTGTAAAGTCGAAAAGTAAAAAGTGGAAATTAAAAGTAATTATAGCAATTATCTTACAGATAGCATGAAACCACTCTAGACGTAAGTCATACCACTTGCCTGCCGAAATTCGAACCCAGCACCTCCCCAATGCGAACTTTGCCGTTACATCAGTCGGCTCGTTACCCCGTTTAGAGCTATTTCACATCTCCATAAACAGTTCTTCTAAAATCCATTTTAATGTTATCCTGTCCTCTCATTTTTACTCTGCCTGGTTGTATGCTTGCTTTCTTCCTTTACATTCGAGCTACATGGCCGACCCATCGCTACACGGAGCAAACAGACGAGCCGATATGGCAAGCCCCTGTTATCGTCTGTAGTCCGCATAACGCAAAAAGTAACAACAGAGAAAATCCCTCTTCGCCACAAAATTAATTTCCTCGTCATAAAAAATTAAATGTGGGTGGATTTTAAAATCCAGAGGCTAGAGGCGGCTTCCTGACTCGTTCAAATCCCGGTAATTAAAATGCTTTATCCGCAATTAGCAGCCGTGCCCAGCTCCGCGCAAGAGCGGCCTAAGTACAGACATACCATGCAGGAGTATAGAGGGCGTTGGTGGCTTTCTTAGCCTCGACACTAGGCGTGCCGCAGAGCCGTGGTGAAGCGATGTGGTTCGCAATTTGAACACTGGCCGTCCAGTTTCTTATGTACGAGCAGTCTAATGATGTGTGCATGTAGCATGAATGGTGGAACTAAAAAGCGGAGACTGGTACTGAGTCATTGTACTCATGAACTGACATACACTTAATAATAACAGTAATAGTGATGGTGGTTGCTCTCCTTATCAGCGTCACAACATACAGTAGCTAAATTTTATAGACGGGGTAATATACAGAGCGAAAAACTGAAGTTCAGTCGTGTAATTATAAAGAAATTGGGAATGAGGTTTCAAATCGCACCAAAAAGCTCTGCTTCAGTAAGCACAGAGTGGGGGGAGTGGAGGTATATCTCCACCATTCTTGGCCTCGGCACACTAGATGGAGAGGAGTAGCCAGCTTCATGCCCCTGTCGCTTTGACCCCGGGAAAATGGTCCCCGTTACCCATTGGATAGGAGGCTGGGTAGGACCGAGAGCCAGTCTAGATGCTGTAGAGAAGATAAAGATCTTACCCCTGCCGGGAATCGAACCCCGGCTTTCCAATCGATAGCCGATCGCTATACCGACTGAGCTATCAGTGCGTAACATTTCTTGCTGTCCTCTGTTAAGTCCGGTGTATAAAACAGAGAAGTTACATTTCTGTTGGGCGCGTTTGCAGCTCCGCCGAGACGGTCAGTTCATCCGCTTGTCCGCACGGACGAGATAGAAAACAGCTCAACGGATTTGAATTACATTTTATATTGGTGACAGGTTAAAATGTTGTCTAGCACGCTAAGTTGTGATTTAAATCCGACAAGCTGTGCAGCCACTTCGCATGAAGACCGACCTGCGTTGCTGCGCGCATCTCGCCAAGTGTTTGTCGGGGGGGGGGGATGAAGCATGCGTTTGCTGCTCAGTGCACTTCGACACGGAGATGCCGTGCCCATATCCATCAGTGAACGGAATCGCAGTTAGGAGGGCAAGAAGAATCATCCAGGCTACTAATTTGCGGGACATGCGGTAGTTGGTTGAGACACTATTCTACAAGCCGGAAGGTCGCGGGTTCGTTTCCCTATCAGATCATTGGATTTTTCAGTTGACTTAAACCTTCCAACTGCACTGTGACCCTGGGGTCAACTCAGCCTGAAGCATAAATGTGTACGAGGAACCTTCCTGGGGGTAAGGTAAGGCTGAGAGTTTCACTCCCATCTGTGAGCGGATTGTCTTGAAAATGTGGGAGCCTCGGTGTCTCACAATCCTATCGGCCGCCACGGCCTCTTATAGGGATAGCTTTACCTTTTTACCACTAATTTGCTTTCGTTTAGTGAGTGCAACAACAGCGGAACCTTAATTTCTTTTCATCTTTCTCCCACTTTGGAGCATAGAATTGATTTCTCAGTTTCATTGATCATTTTACAGTCGGTAGGACTCCTTGGACGGGTGATCAGCTCGTCGCAAGGCCTCTAACTAAACACAGGACAACACAAACACAGACCAAACATCAATGCCTTGTGCGGGATTCGAACCCACGATCCCGGCTTCTAAGAGAAGGAAGACAGAACATGCCTTAGACCGCTCGGCTACCGTGAGTGGCGGAAACTTACTACTGAACTGCTGGTCACTCAGTCAGTGTACGGTTCTGACCGCTTGCCAGTTTCAATGAGTCTCAGTAGATCTGTCTTCTGCGATATAGCGCCGGAAATAGAACTCTTCATAACCTCCGGTGTCGGAACCTTAAGTCCTATCATCACGTAATAGTAAATAGTTTCATATGAATGTAATGTTTCTTCCTATTCTAAGTGTCCAGTTCATCGTAGCCTTGATCATTCCGTTTGTGATTGCCTCCGCTGGTCTGCGTGACCTCGCACTTGTGCGCAACAGACTGCGCAGCAAATCTTGGGCACAGCCGCTCAGCAACCCGACACAAAGGTGGCTAAAATCAACATTAAATAACTAACTATTATTATTTTTTTATTGTTAGTGGGGTGGGACTAAGTCCTTTGTAGTGCAGCCACTTCTGGCCTATTGTACCAGCCCAAGATGATAGGTGAGGGTGATTGTGGAGCAATTGGTGGAATGAAGATTGGCAGGGGAAGCCGAAGTACTCGAAGGAAACCTGCCCCAGCGCCACTTTGTCCACCACAAATCCCACTCGACAAGACACCGGGCTCGAACCCGGGTCGCCGCGGTGGGAAGTCAGCGACTAACCGCTTGAAATATGGCGGGGCCTAAGTAACTAACTAACTGACCCCATGGAGAGGAGTGATTCAGCCTTTCTAGTCGTTCAGCGGGCCAGAAAATCCTCCCCCCCTTTATGAAACCGGCATGTTCATTACCACACCCACAAGAGCCCACCGCTAGTCTCTATCCTGAGTCTGGTATATCCTGAAATATTATGCTGTAGTGTCATATTGTGTGTAAGACAAAGTTTACTGTTATTCAGTCGTCACAAATCTGGTATAAACACATCATATATTGGACTTTAATGGATTCTGACGATGGTGTATGCTGTACAGAACTATAAGCTTTATTTTGGACTCTATCCATCATCTGGTATACAGGTATATAAGACAAGAACCACAACGTTTCGGAGACTGGATCTCGTCCTCAGGTGGATAGGGCAAGATAGACCTACTCAGTTGTGCCCGTTAGAAAGCCACTGGACCAATCCAGTGATTGAGACTAGCTCTTTCAAACGGGCACAACTGAGTAGGTCTATCTTGCCCTATCCACCTGAGNCCAACACACAACCACATGAACTTAAGGTCACAGGAAGAATCCCACGAAAAACAAGAACTCACACTGGGGAGCACCACCTAAGCATCTAGTAACACAAAGCAAAATGAGAAAAAAAAATATATATATTTATACTTTTTAACATATAAGTCAATTTTAATTCAAATTAGAATATTTTAATATTTTTTATATTTTATATATTAATATTTAATACATTTTATAACATAAGGACATTACAGAAATAACAAAACCATACAACGCACCCCCAATGTGTAAACACTGCAGTGTAGGGAGGTATAGCAGGTAGAAAGAAAGGTGATTATAAAGTCTCTAAGTGAAAGATGACAGCCGCAGCAGGCCGAAACATGTACATGCAAACGCTTGCTGTGTGTCCATTCAATAATAATAAAAACTGGTACAAACAGTCCATATCCTTACATTCTATTTCCTTAAGATCCGTTTTAATATTAGCCTTCCGTCTATGTCTAAGTCTTCGAACTGTTCTCTTTTTTTTTTTCTTTTTTTTTTCCTGTTTTTCCAGATTTCTTGTCCTGTACTATATCACCCACTCGTGCAACTGTCAGCTTCTGTTCACTGGACCCGCTCGCACAAATAGTGTTTTGTAGGCCATTTCTAAACTAAACGTGACGCTCTCTCTACGATTGTGACGTAACGAATAGCTGTTAATTTAGCGCGATGAATCTGATGAACTTGAGTGAACGAGGAAACTGCAGCCAGACACACGAGCGGCAGAGCCCCCTGCTGTCTTGAAGAGCTTGAGCTGTCCTCATTGTCAGCAATTATTACATCGACCATCAATATCAACGGCCAAACTGACTCCCCCGGGAAGGTAAGCATTCCCGGCGTACAGACGTCGGCATGAAGCCCGAGCGAGTCTTGTAGCCGCGCGCGATGCAACCTGCTGCTCACAGTATGGTCACCACTGTACCATAATGACGTTACAGGGACTCGCGCGCCACCTGGTGCCAATTCTGTGAGTTATCCTCCTTAATTATTCAGTAATGATCTCTGCGAAAAAATTGAGATAAATTAGTTTTGGAGGCCATAATCCTGTTACGCAGGCAGCTTCTGTAGTGGGGGGGGGGGATGTACAGCTGCTACATGTGACGGACGGACAGGCAGACGGCGCGCGCCTCGGTGTCTTAACCTGTCACACCGCTGGTCATCCCGTTACATCATCCGAGATCCGCCTTAGCGTCGCCCTAAGTGGCTTCCTTGCTCGCGTCGCTCTGAGGTCAACATCTGTCTCGACGTCACCCCCTAATTTTCTGACCCCATTATCGGCAGAATTAGAAGGATTACTGCATACTCTCATGCAAAACCCGAAAGGGGAGCATGATTAGGGGCTGCAGGAATCTCCAGAGACCTCGCGGTGACGTCATGCGAGTGTTGACGGATGGAACATAACACTGCAGGTGTCCGCCATGTCCGGGAAGTGTACTTACAGGGGTGTGTGGGGGTGAATGGGTAGTCCAGCGACGGCAGCCTCGGGGTCGTGGAGGGATGCAGCGAGGGTGGGCAGTGGTAGCAGAACATGCTCCGGTGCCCCGCTATCTGTAACATGAAACATGACATGATAAGGTACTGTCCCAATTCAATCCATGTTACGTAACTCAGCACTTACTCCCTTAGCATGAACGGAATTTTTCTGTTCACCCCAGTGCCCAGACTGGCTCTGGGGTCCATTCAGTCTCCTATGCGACGGGCACCTGGGCTCTTTCCATGGGGGTAAGGCGGCTGCAGTTTAAAGCTGATCGCTCACCTCCATCTAGTGCCGAAGAGAACGCATGGAGCTATACCTCAACCCCCCACACTTCTTTGTGGAGGGATGTTTAATCACGTAGGGACAGCTTTACGTGTTGTCACTATAGTGTTACGTCCCTTTGTTTCCAGTGCCCATTGTCGAGAGTTCTAAATCTCCTAAACTCTTGCAACTTTTGGACTTTTTCTTGTCTCGCTTTGTTTGAGGAAATATAATTTCGTAATCTAGCTCTGTTGCCATCATGTCAAATTATGAAACCGGCTGATCTTTGTAACGGACAACCACTTTGTTTTCTGTGAGGTATGAATTGATTTCTTTTGTTACTAGTTAGACGAACACCAGGCTTCAGAGGGCTAAGAGACCGTGGGCACATATGTTTTTCTCGGCACTCAGCACTGAATTGCCGTTAAAAGACAAAACAAAATGTAAAATTTTCAGTTCGAATCCGGGCCCTGTGAGTAGCGCGTGTCCGTACGGACGCATCTAAGCCTCGGACTGCAAAGGCTGCTACATCCATTCCAATGTTTGTTCATTTTATTAGCTTTCCATTCTTCAGAAGGGCTGTAGTTTTCTGCGCGGTCCGGCATTCTGTTTGAATTAGCATCAAAGCGGGGCCCCGGGAGCGCAAAACGTAGACATTTCATAATTCCCCCGTATTTGCTTTGGCCTCGCTGTTTGATTCGATTTGAACTGCTGAACTGTAATCACATTTATAGAGATTTGCAGTTCCTGCTGCGTGCTCTGCCTTGCGCTGTTCTCTTGTCAATATTTCGTATTGTTATTGCAGTACCCGTGGCTGACGGAAAAGTATAGATTCAAGGAATTCGACAAGAAAATGCGAAGGAATATATTTGGAATGAATTAATTGGTGAATGACGAAAATTACACTACGAGAACATTTCTTACAGTTCAGCGTGCAGTGGCACAGTCCGGACAGGAGAGTGGAATGTCCTTTCGATGAGGGAAATGACACACAGGCCTAGTGGAGAAACACTTCGCAAGCCTGAGAAGAAATTGGGGGGGGGGGGTTAGGGTAATATTAGAATGGATCACAGACAAGTATATTGTGAGGATGCTAGGTGGACATTATTCTATTTAGGCCATGATGGGTCTCTTCCACGTCCTTTCAAATTCATTGTTCACTAATTACGTCATTCGACACACAATTTTGTGCTATTGAAAGTGTCATCGTTTGGTGGGCTATTTAATAACCAGGGCCCGGATTTGATGACATGTCATCTTTTTTTCCCTTGTATCCTATGCAATGCTCTTAAATATATAAATCTCGGATATGAGCTGCTGGTTACAGAAATGTAAATTTTATAGGTAATTTTTTTGTCATTTTTGGACATTTTTAGGTTTAAGGTCATTTTTTTCATCTTTGGGTTTTTTTGGTAAATATTTGGACTTTTAAGGGTATTTCTTGTCATTTTGGACCATTTTAGGGAATTTTTCTTCATATGTTTTCTGAAATGTGAATAACATGGAAGCGAAGTGTTCTTTCTCTTTCCCTTTAGGTCATTTTTCTGGATTTTTCCGGCTATTTTTTTTAATATTTTCAGGTCATCAAAATCCGGGCCCTGCATATTATGTTTTTTGGTCATATTTTAGGTCATTTTCTGAAATTTTTCGGTCATTTTTTAAATATTTTCAGGTCATCAAAATCCGGGCCCTGCATATTATGTTTTTTGGTCATATTTTAGGTCATTTTCTGAAATTTTTCGGTCATTTTTTAAATATTTTCAGGTCATCAAAATCCGGGCCCTCTTAATAACACTTTCAGTATCTATAGCGTTGGGACGTAGGATAATGAACGATAATTGGGAAGGATTTGGAAGGGAACGGTCCTGGCCTAACACTACACGTATCCATTATAATCCCCCCATTCCCCGAAAGGGACTGAGGGGAACCACAAAATAACTCGGCCGGGATTCAAACCAAGTACCTCCTGAACAGAATCGCTACCCCAACCCCCCAGCCCATTCGGTGAACATGATATCAAATGCTAAACGTGCTGAATGTATTCATCTCGTTATTAGTCACTTAGTTGCACCCAAGTTGTGTATTTGCGAGAGGTACGTAAATGTTCAGCGTGACTGGCAAACTGTAGCAGTGACCCTGTGATGGCACGCAAGAGTCACGCAAAGTGATATATGCCACGATCCTTCGGAACCACAAATATTTGTTGCAAACCCTGAGAAGAAGAAAACATTTTCAAGACGTAGACATAAATGTGACGATAATATTCAAATGGATCTTAAACAAATATAATGTGAATAATGCATTGCAAGAGATTATAACAAAACAAGTTGACTTAAGGTAAAATTTATGATTCGCATTCACGAGGCGTTTCTTTCGAATCTTAACCCGAAAACAGTCTATTCTGACTTAAGTGTCTCGTAGTTTTCCTCAGTCCCTCCATGGAAATGTCTGCAAATCACCTTCAGTGAGGCCACTACCGCTTACTTTCACATCCTTTCCAATTCATTGTTCACTAGTCACCCAATCACTTGACGCTATATTTTATAAGTAGCAACGTCATTAAACAAACTACAGGCAAGCAAACAGAAACAGGATTGGAAAGCGCGAACTGCAGATTGCTCGCGGCCGCAAGCAAAGTGGAGTGTTCTGTGTGTGGCTGCACACCGGAACTGCTCAACAAATTGGAGCCAAGTCTCCCACGGTCACAGAGACATAAGGCGTTCTTTGCATTCTCTATAGAAAGCCTAACGCTAGAGCTGTGGTGGCCGTGTCTGGAACCGACGCGGTGGCTGCGGGACCCGTCTCCTAGCAACCGCCTAATTATCATCGCTAAGTGGCTGACTCATGCACGTGTCAAAGGTCGCGTGTCCTGGGGTGATGGCCGCCACTTGGCGGGGGCGGGTGACCAAATGAAACGCCAGGGAGGGAGAGCGTACAACATACTTATTATTCAGTTTGGTCATCCCTAACCGGGCCGGGCCACGCATCAATTGTGCTAATAGAATCTTCTCGTTGAGCAGCTGCTCCTTGCACGGCGCACAAACAGTTGACACTCGGCGTGACGTCGTCATCTTGACGGTCTGTTAATGGGTTCAAACATATGGTTATGGCTCGGTGTCCGCAGCCTCGTCTGTGAAGGCAAGGGCCTAATGTTGCGCACACCACATCTCTACATGTTCTGGCTTTTCCGAGATGTGAGCATGTGACCCGGCTGCAGGTGAGGTGGACAATGCTTAGGTTTTCGTCGAGGGATAATATTAAAGCAGGTCTTAGGAAAACATCAGCTTTTATGTTCTCACTGTGGTGAGCATTAAAATTGTGGTCTTCTGGGATATGAAGCCATGTAGACTAGTATATAGATACCGAAGTTTCGGAGGGACATTCCGCCTCCATCTTCAGGTTATAAGAAAACGGGGAGAACAGGCCTCTCCCAAAAGTTGGCATTCGTCTACCAGGTGGCGCATCTTAGAAAAGTCGGAATCTATGGAAAATGAATTCTAGAGTGTCAGAGGTACTACTGACTTCAACGGCCGAGTCGCCTGGTCTGTTAATGCGAGGCGGATTCGCAGCAGATCGCCTGTTCATATCTCACCGCGTGCATGAGAGCATTCCATGTGTTAGACTTCACTGGGTTCTCCAAGGTGGCCGCAGGACATCCCCTGATGACGTACAGACGTAGCATTGATTCCATTACAGCGTCCCTACACAATACGATTTCCAAATTGGCATAAATTCAGTGTGGAAACTCGATATGCCATCGCAAGGCAGGACTCGTTAGCCAACTTAACCCAATCAGTAATGTTTGAAGAACAGTTTCTTCGGTACGTCGCCAGTGTAAATGCACCGCTTTAAGAGGTTAGGCTCAGTCTATTTATTATTTACCGATGATGAATCATTTGTATCGATGTGACGGATTGTTATTAAATTTAGTAACAAGTAATTCGTTCCGAACGTGGCGACGATGCTTGTGAGGCAGCCGTCACCTAGTTACGTACCCGTGTCCTTGTAGGCCTGCAGGTTTCAGTTGACCAAACGATCGAGTCCCTGCAGGGGCAAGGTATGCTTCACTTATCTAAAGGGTTCAGACCAGCTCTGGGGCCGACAGCCTTCTATGGACTGGTATCGGGGATCTTTCCTCTGGAATGAAGCGACTGGCTCTTAAAGGATACTGACCACTCACCTCAGTCTAGTGCCGACAAATGTGAGAAACCAAAACTTCATTCTTTCTCTTGTCTTCATGGCGTGATGTGTAATTAAGCACGAGAACAACTTGATTTTCTAACTTTACTGCCTTAAGTGGAACTGAAGTGCGTCTTCTTTGAAGTTCCAATTTTAAGTCTGTCAACGTGTTAAGTGCGGCATATGTTCCAGTCTTGCATTAGTCTGTAAGCCGCAGCTTATTCGACCCTGAAGTTGGAAGCGATATGTTCCTCCGAAAATTCGGTTGACTTCCAACGAACCCCCGCTGTGAGAACTTGAGATCCTACGCTTTATTAACTTTTTGCACTGTTTGCTTTGCATTGGTGAGGGTAATTAAATATTCTGAAGGCGATATGACCTCCAGTAGCATAACATTCATACCGGATTTTATAAAAGAGTACACAACGAACGGCATTGCGTGTGTAAGCTGTGAGTCACGAAGTGTTGCCTGCGTGCTACAGGATCCTCTGCCTTTACGAAACTCACGGGTTCATCGCCGTGTTGACAACAGCCTCTCATTATGTCCATTTCACTCCATGCCACATTTTTGCTAGGTTACATTTCAATATTACGTCCCACCTACGCCTAGGTTTCATTAGCGGTCAGCCCT